TTTAATAAACAAAATTTTTTTTAAAACTTCAAAACATGCTTAACAACATCCTTAAAAAGAATTACCTTTTTACTTTTCCTTCCATTTAAAAAAAAATCGCAAAAAAACGTTAAATTTTCGCTCTCTACTGTGGTGTAACTATTTCTGGATACTTCAGAATACACTTCATTGAACGATTGTTGTACGATTCAATCGCAATTATAGGAGTCGATTAATATTACATAAACTTACCTTCTTGCCACTGGTAAATATATCAAAATATTTAATTGCAGAACAAAATATAAGTACGGCGAACGAAAATACATTTAAAAGAAGATCTGCGCTGTATTTGTTAGTGATAAACAATGGATAACTGGAATTATATATGTACTATTTACTGATCATGGAATATAAATTAGACTGTTATATATAACTTATCGTCATATGTATCACATTTTGTGATTAATTGTATGTAAAGAAATTGTTTCACCGAACACCTTTGCTTTCTCTCTGCAAGTATCTTTTTTCACGAGTAACCTCAGTTTGGTATATATGATTGTAATTTATAACTTACTACTTGTACATACTTAAATAACCTAGATACTGAATTTATGTGAAAAAATACATTAGTTGTAGCTTACAATAGATCGAGGGGGCTAATTACGTTACGTGCTCTCGAAATGCAAAACGCATATAATCTTGCACGTTACAAATTGCATTTTAAGAAAGCGTAATTGCTGTTAACTGTACAATCAGTTTATATTATATATATTAAAATGTGCGTATTTTATTTTATATATTTAAAATATACATATTTTAGTTTAGCTTTAGCTGATATTTATTTAAAATCTCGTGTTGCGATTATGATTTTAATATTCGCGAATAAGATAAAACAAGTTGTATGGATTATTTAACGCGTTAAGAGTTGTCCATTTTAATTATTTAAAGAAATTAGTTTGCACTTAACTCAATATATAGATATTCGGGTATGAAATGGATATATGTATATAATAAACATATGTATATAATGAAATAGATTCACAGTTGCCTGATGGATCAAAGATGTTTCTATCTGATATGATAACACTTTCCTTTATGTATATTTAGCGATCACAATTATTGCTGATTACAACTACATTTTGTGATTATTATTATCGATTTACAGAATAAATGACCATAAAGTATGATAACGACGAACTGACAAGCTGGAACAAAATATATACAATAATGAATTTTACATCAAACAAGTACGGGAGAAGCATCATTGTCGGCCAATTCAACTTGCAATTGGTAAGATATCCAATCCAGATCAGGAGGTTCCAGATTCAAATCCTGGCTGAGGTAATATTTTTTTGCAATAAGCGTTTTAGATTCAGTGTTTAGGACGCTTGTAGCATCACTATTAAATTGACAATTAATTTAACTTGTGATATTATTTCAGTTTTAGTGTATGATTACGTTTCAAAATTCGACAGTAGTCGGCGCACAGCTCATTGTAAGTTGAAATTTAAAAAGTAAAAATAGAATTGGGTACTAATACATATCTAGCCTCGGTCGACAGTGGGCATTTTGCTTGTACTTATTTGATATATTCATATTATACAGCGGTCATATTCAAAATTATAAAATTTTTAACATTTCCCTGCGTAAGTTATTCGTTTTTACCGTAGCGAAGCCTTGCAGAGACGGCAAGAATAGGCCAAAGCACATCGTTATTGCGGAAGTCTTTAGACTTCGGTATGTTATTATCACAAGACATTTTTGTATGTTTAGTGGAGCCGCGTACCACCGAGTGTTGCATCTGTGTGGTGCCATATATTAATTCATAATAATTAATTTGCTACAGAGGCGGATACAAGGGGAAGGGGGGGGTGACAGAGGGGGCGATCTCCCCCCTCCGGAGCTTTCCAAATTTCGTATATTTGAAAAAGTTGGTTTAAATTAAATTGAAAAATTTTAGAGATTATTCAAGACTAAATAATGTTCATTCAATTTTTTTTAAATAATAAAAAAATGTTAAAAATAATATTAATGACAATAATAACTAAATATTAACATTGCTTCATACCGCCCCCCTCCCAAAACAACTCTCTGGATTCGCCACTGATATTTGCTATGTGCTGTTATATAAATTTTAGATATATATTTAACTGAAATCGCATCGTGTAGTTCCTCTACACTTACATTTTCTTAAATATATCGTTGCTATAATCTATTACTTCTTGATTAATGTAGTTACCAACAAACATAAAGCCATAATGAATAATAATGTATAAGACCAATATGCTCGCATCACCAATATTTTCTGCCATAATGTACTCGCAAAGCTACGGAATTTACAATTTTTTAAAAATTATTATATATGATATAATTAGATTGTTAATAGTACAATTAGAAGCCTTACAAACTCACACGATATAGATTGATGCTTATCGAACCCACGCCTATTGGAATTGATAAAAATTGAGAAAATGTGAAAGCGGATTGAAAAAAATCGATGAACCTTAAATCATCACATAATATGAATTTGAAGTCTTAAAAAAAGAAATTCTTAAATAAAAATTGTTAAGTCATAAAAAAATATTCACAACTTGTGCATTATATTATAAAAATGTAAACAAAAATTATAAAAATTAATCATTAAATTATTAGGGCAATTTTAGAATATATAATATTATAGTTTTGTGTCATAAAACATAATTTTTTACATTCTTGAGAATTATCTTGGAAAAAATCTTATAAATTGCAATACCAACTTGATAGCATTTTGATGACCGTCGACAGCCTCCATGATGCTTTTACGACTATTAAATTTTTTCGAAGAAACTGACAATTTCGTCTGGCTTCTATTTACAATACTTTCGATTCGATAACTATAAAAAATCCAGTTATTGAATCCAGTATTTAAATTAATATTTTTATAATTTCTTTATTAGCATTTAAAAATTCATTACCCAGTGATTTGAAACATTGCACATATGTGTTTCACATACATTTGCGTACATGATTCTATGGTTGCTACTGCGGTACCGCAGCTGAAGACAATAAGGAGCAAATACAATGTTAACAGTTTGGCATACTTTTCCCGATCAATAAAAAATTCCATCTTGTTCAGAAACTGTCGTGATTTTCGTGATTCGTTTAATGGCATCACAACATCAAGAAATTTTGGGAACAAAAATATTAATGCAAAGAGAAAAAGCGTTGCATATACCAGTACTGTAAAAATCGATTAGATATTCTAATTTGAATTTTAATTTCGTGATGGTATTACAATTGACGTTTCGTGACTTAATTGTATTACTCACTCAACGTGATAATTGTAGTGATTCTTCCAATATTAGTGTGATTGCGTATAATTTTAAGTTCTTCTTCTTCTGTTAAAGAATTCCAATCATATCGCACTTGTTCCATAAGTCTTTTTATCTAGAATAAGATACTAATAATTCATGATACATCGTTCTATTGATATAAAAGTGAAACAAGTAAAAAAGTAACATTGCTTAAATACAGACTAATTAGGGTTTCCTTTCATTATCTCAAAAATGTTTATTTTTTCACTCGTGTCACTTTTAATGAGGCAATATATTTTAACAATATACGATCAGATATACTTCATTATTGTACGGTTTAATCGCGGTGTAGAAGTCGATTACATAATTGTGATTATATAAACTTACTTTCTTGTCACTAGTAAACATATCAAAATATTTAACTGCGGAAAAAAATGTAAGTCCGGCGGTCGAAAATACATTTAAAAGAAGATCTGTGCTGTATTCCTTAGTGATAAACAATGATAACTGGAATTATATATGTACAATTTACTGAAGAAATTTATATAAATATTAGACTGTTATATATAACTTATCGTCATATGTATCACATTTTATGATTAATTCTATGTATAGGAACTGTTTCACTGTACAACTTTGTCGTCTCACTGCAGGTATCATGCGTTAAAGCCAATTGTTTTTTCAAGAGTTACCTCGAAGGTTCGGTGTATATAATTGTAATTTATAATTTGTACATACTTAAATAAAGTACTGAACTTGTGCAGAAAATTACGATTATTTATAGCTTACAGTATTCATGCAAATTAGAGTTTTCGTACATATTTGTCTAATGCCTATATCTATAACGCTCGAGTGAACATTATTAGTTGCCTGAACCAATTATATCTTTTTTCCATGTCTGTACTACATAAATCATACTAACATAATCTCTTATAGATTTATTATCAAATCTTATTTATGATCATATTTTTTCGCATTTAGCATTATTATATTCGACTATCTTAAATTTGTTAACATTAAAAGCGATTTTTATAATTTTTATGAAACCGAATGCAATTAATAACAATTTTTACACATGCTAATTTTTAATTGAAACGTACTTTATGTATTTAAAAAAAGTAATCTTTGATTTTATAATTTATATTTAACTTTTAAATCTTAATTTAAATATCAATACGTAAATACACGTTTCAAGTAGAATTGGAATTTATAAAAAATTAAACTTTATAAATTTTTTTCGATTCCTGTTGAGAACATGAGATGATATTTTTTCGCAATAAATTTCTTTACAGATTCGGTGAGAATGGTTCGTATAGATGCAAATTATCATTTTGAGTTAGTATTTATTTAACGTCGCGAAGGAGGGGGGATTTATTAGATGCAAATGAGCATCAAGTACTTATTAAATTGATTAGCAATTTAATAACGTGATAATACGGTTCTATTTTAATCAGGAGTTGCGTTAAATCCGGAAGTAATGGCATGTAGTTTTGTTGAAGCTAGGATACATATGAAAATCACATTAAGAAAATATTGAAAGCACCAAGATCCTGCTATGATCGTGCATTGGCCTTTCTTATTCGTTATGTGTGAAACACTTATAAATCGATGCACTTACGGTCGTAATATATATATAGGTATATGATAACTATATATATATATATTGTTTATAACATTTATTTACAAATCCCTAGTGTGAATGAAATATGTTATTAGACAAAGTAGTACTAGCCAAGAGCTGTAAAACATGTGAGAAGTGCTAATTTCTGCTTTGACATATTCGAGGAGATTTGTGCGCGACGAATTTTGCGCGTTCTTCGTATTTATAAATCGATAGTGCTTAGAAACTGCTCGATGAGTAGAGACATTATATTATATTCACAGTTTAAATAAGCTGTATCGCGTAGAAATATAATGTCAAAGAAGCCAAACATCTATACTTATCAAGACTAAAATCACAATTTATAATGGAACTTTACAAATCAAAGCGATCGAGATGGCTAATTGCGTTATGTGTTCTAAAAATGCAAAACGTTATATCATATTGCACGTTGCAAATTGCATTTTAAGAAAGTATAATTGCGGTATAATCAGTCTATATAAATACATATATATTAACATATATATTAATTAAAATAATTATTATAAATACATATATATTAACATGTACATATTTTATTCCATTTTATGTATTTAAACTCTATGTATTTTATTTTAGCTTTAGCTGACTCTTGTTTAAAATCTCGTGTTGCGAGTGTGATTTTTGTATTAACGAATAACATAAATCAAGTTATACGGATTATTCAATACGTTAAGTGTTAATTATTTTAATTATTTAAAGAAATTAGCTCGCACTTAACTCAGTGTATAGATATTCGAGTATGAAATGGATATATAATTGATTCCCTGATGGACCAAAGAGGTTTTTATCTAATATGACACACTTTTTTTACGTATATTCATCGCTGATTGTGACAATCTGTAATTATTATCGATTTATAGAATAAATGACCATAAAGTATGATAACGATGAGCTGACAAGCTGAAACAGAATATATACAAACATGAATTTCACATCACAAACAAGTACGGAAGAAGCGTCACTGTCGGTTAATTCGACTTGCAATTGGTAAGATGTCCAATCCAGATCGGGAGGTTCCAGATTCGAATCCTGACTGAGGTAATATTTTTTTGCAATAAGCTTTTTAGTTTCAGTGTTTAGGATGCTTGTAGCATCATTATCAAATTGACAATTTAACTTGTGATATTATTTCAGCTTTAGTGTATGATTACGTTTCAAAATTCGACAGTAGTCGGCGCGCAGTTCATTGTAAGTTGAAATTTAAAAAGTAAAAATAGAATTGGGTACTAATATCTAGTCTCGGTCGACAGTGGGCGTTTTCTTCGTACTTATTTGATATATGCTATATTCGTATATAGCAGTCGTATCCAAAAATGTAAAATTTTTAATATTTTCCTATGTAAATTGTTCGCTTTACCGTAGCGAAACCTTCCAAAGATGGCGAGAATAGATCAAAGCACATCGTTAGTGCCGAAGTCTTTATACTTCGGTATGTTATTATCATGAGGCATTTTTGTATGTTCAATGGAGCCGCATACCACCGAGTGTTACATCTGTGCCATATATTAATTTATATTAATTAATTTACTATGTGCTATTATACATATAAATTTTAGATATTATATTAGGTTTAACTGAAAGCTCGTGTATCTCTTCTACACTCACATTTTCTTAAATATATCGTTGCTGTAATTTATTAGTTCTTGACCAATGTAGTTACCAAAGAACATAAAGCCATAATGAATGACAATGTACAAGAACAATATGCTCGCATCACCAATATTTTTTGCCATAATGTACACGCAAAGCTATGGAACTTACAATTTTTAAAAAATCGTTATATAATACAATTATATCGTTAATAATATAATTAGAAGTCTTATAAACTCACACGATATAAATTGATGCTTAACGAACCCACGCCTATTGGAATTACAAATAATTTAGAAAGTGGGAAACCGGATTTGATTGTATCGATGAACCTTGAATCACATAATATAAATTTGAAATCTTAGAAAAAGGTTATTAACTCGTTAAAAAATATCTACAACGTGTAAATTATATTATATAAGTGTATGCAGATAACAAAAAATGTAAAAATAAATTATTAGATTACTAGAACTGTTTTAGAATATAAAATGTAATATTATAGTTTTGTATCGTAAAAAACACAATTTTTGACATTCTTGAGAGTTATCTTGGAAAGATTATTATAATTGCAATACCAACTTTATAGCGATTCGATGACTATCGACAGCCTCCATAATGCTTTTACGACTATTGAATGTTGCCGAAGAAACTGACAATTTCGTTTGGCTTCTATTTACAATACATTCGATTCGATAACTATAAGAAAAATCCAGCTATGGTATTGAATCAAAATAATATGTTTATAATTTCTTTATTAGCATTTAAGAATTCATTACCCAGTGATTTGAAACATTGCACATGTGTGTTGTAAACATATTTGCAAGCATGCGTCTATGGTTGTTATTGCGGTAGCACAGCTGAAGGCTATTAGGAGTAAATACAATGTTAACAGTTCAGCATATTTCTCTCGATCAATAAAAAATTCCATCTTGTTCAGAAACTGCCGTGATTTCCGAGATTCGTTCAATGGCATCACGATATCAAGAATTTTTGGCGATAAAAATATTAATATAAAAAGAAAGACTGTTGTATACACCATTACTGTAACAATCGGGGGATATTCTAATTTTAATTTTAATTTCGTGATCGTATTACGATTGAGAATGTTTCGTAACTTAATTATGTTACTGACTCAATATGATGATTGTAAAGAATTTTCCAATATTAGTGCGATTATGCATTATTCTAAGTTCTTCTTCTTCTTTTAGGGAATTCCAATCATATCGTATTTGTTCCATAAGTTTTCTTAGCTAGAACCAGATAATAATTCATTGTTCTATTGATATAAAAGTGAGACAAGTAAAAAATTAGCATTATTGAAATAAATATGTAGGGTTTACTTTCATTATTTCAAAAATGTTTATTTTTTGACACGTGTCACTTTCAATGGAGCAATATATCTTAACTATATACAATCTAATATATTATAGTTAATCGTTGTACGATTCAATCACAGTTATAGGAGCCGATTATGTTGATATTACATAAACTTACTGCTTTGCCACTAATGAACATATCCAAATATCTAATTGCGGAAAAAAATGAAAGTCCAGCAGTCGAGAGCACATTTAAAAGAAGATCTGCGCTATATTCCTTAGTGATAAACAATGATAACTGGAATTACATATGTACTATTTATTCGTGGAATTTATATAAATATTAGACTGTTATATATAATTTATCGTCATACGTATCACATTTTATGATTAATTGTATGTATAGTAATTGTTTCACCATGCCATCTGATTGCAAGTGTCTTAATGCGTTATAATCCATAACGCCAAATCTTTTTTCATGAGTAATCATAAAGATTTGGTGTATATGATGGTAATTTATAATTTACTATTTGTACATACTTACACAAAGTACTGAACTTATGCAAAAAAATTACTTAGTTTACAGTATTCATGTAAATTATTTCGCACATATATGCACTAATGTCTGTAACGCTCGGATGAACATTATTATACTTGCCTGAATCAAATATTTTTCTTCTCCGAGCATGTATTACATATTTGTAAGACATATTAAGATATAATCTCTTAAATCTATTATCAAATGTAATCATATTTATATTTATTTTTTTTACATTTAACATTATATTTTGACTGCCTTAACTGTTTGTTAATATTAAAAAGCAATTTTTATAATTTTTATGAAACCGGTCACAATTAATAATAATCATTTTTACACAAGCTGACGTTACTTCCAGATTCAACGCAGCTTTTGATTAAAACAGAACTGTATTATCACGTTATTAAATTGCTAATCAATTTAATAAGTACTGATGCTCACTTGCATCTAATAAATCCCCCCTCCCCTGCAACGTCAAATAAATGCTAATTTGCATCTATACGGTTCTGTTTAAATCAAAAGCTGCGTTGAATCCGGAAGTAACGGCACGCAGTTCGTTGAAGGTAGAATACGTATGTAAAATCACATAGAAATATCAGAAGCATCAAGATCCTGCCATGACCGTGCATTGGCCTTTCTTATTCGTTGTGTTTGAAAGATTTATTTACGAATCCGAATTAGGATTGTGTGAATCGAATATGTTATTAGACAAAGTAGTACTAGCCGAAAGCTGAAAAAAATATGATGCAAGACGCGCTAATTTCTGCCTTGGCACACCCGAGGAGATTTGTGCGCAAAATGCACGGGTTCTTCATACTTATAGAGTACAGCAGGGTAATTTGAATAGTGGGGTAATTTGGATAACAGTGAGCATTTGCAAGAATTTTGAAAAAATAAAAAATTTTAAAATATATTTCATTAGATCAATGTCTCATCTAATGAAATGTATCTGAAAATCTTTTATTTCTCCGAAATTCTTGCAAATGCTTACTGTTATCCAAATTACTCCGCTATACCCTAAGCAATGTCGATAGTGTTTTTAGTTAGAAGCTGTTCGTGAAATACAGACATTATATTCGCAGTTTAGATAAGATCGTGTAAAAACGCAGTGTCAAAGGAGCCAAACATCTATGCTTATCAAGACTAAAATCACGATTTATAATGAAACTTTACAAACCAAAGTGATCGAGACAGTTAATCATGTATTCTCAAAATGCAAAACATGTATGATCTTGCAAATTGCATTTTAAAAAAACATAATTGCGGTACAATCAGTCTACATAATAAATTAAAATGTATTATTTTACATATTTTATTTTAGCTTTGTTCAAAATCTCGTGTTGCGATTGTGATTTTAATATTAGCGTATAAGGTAAACGTACCAGTGGATGAACGTGTATCTATAACTGAACAAATACACAAAAATTTATTTTTAAATTATTTTTTTAATAATATTATAATTAAATTTTATTCTTTAAATATTTTTACAATTAAATTTTGAATTATAATAAAAAAAGTATTTGAGATTAATAAATTTTGTGTACGGGTTCAGATATAGATACATGTTCATCCACTACGTACGTTTACCTTATAAGATAAATCAAATTGTATATACTATTCAACGCGTAAAAAGTCGTTTATTTTAATTATTTAAAGAAATGATCTCGTACTTAACTCATTGTCAGTATGTATTATAGATGTTTGAGTATGAAACAGATATATAACAGATTTTTAGTTCCCCTAATGGCCCAAAGATGTTTCTATCTAACATGACACACTTTTCTTTATGTATATTTACGTCGATTGTCAATTATTGTTGATTATGACTACATTCTGTGATTATTATCGGTTTACAGAATAAATGACCATAAAGTATGATACTGACGTGCTGGTAAGCTGAAACAGAATATATCAAAATATAAATTTTACATTAAATAAGTATGAAAAAGCATAACTGTCGGTAAATTCGACTTCCTATTGGTGAGACGCCCGGCCCTATTGAATCGGGAGGTTCCAGATTCGAATTCTAACTGAGATTATATTTTTTTACAATAAGTTTTTTATAGCGTTTTGGATGTTTTTAGCTTTACTGTCAAATTGACGATCAATTTAGCTTTGTGATATTATTTCAGCTTTAGTGTGTAATTGCGTTTAAAGTCCGACAATAATCGGCGCAGTTTATTGTAGCTGAAATTTAAAAATTAAAAATTTTATTGGGCACTAATATCTAGCCTCGGTCGACAGTGGGCATTTTCCTCGTACTTATTTATGTATTCATATGTATAGTGGTCGTATTTAAAATTATAAAATTTTTAATA